TCTTTATTGTGCATTCAATACTAAGCTATTCAAATAATACACAGGTTCATATATTCATGTTTTTATTTTAAACATGTGCAAGGTGCAGTGAGTAGGGAGGCCGTGCCACTGCCATTTATAAACACACCTTGTCAGCTGATACCAATGCCAACATCAACATTGTCTGTCAATTGCATGATAATCATGCATACAAGATATTCACATTGACGTTTTTATTTTAAACATAAATGTGGAAACGAAAATGAGTGATGGCCTATTAGTGCCACTGCCATGCATAAACATAGCTGTTATCTTTCATACAATACTGAACTATTAAAATAATGGACACATTCATGTTTGGCGGACCCCCTGTTGAAGACCTCTGGTCTACAGATGACTGCTGTACCACTTCTCTTGTATTTCCCAAATGGTCAATCTGCTGCCCTCTGCTGGTTCAATGTAAATCTCAGGACGACCTCTGGGAATATGCAGCCAATAGCAACCTGAATACTTATAATACACTATTAGAATGTGAAATGAATTAGGATAGTTACATTCAAAGAGGAACTATTTTACAACTTAAAATGCTACTAAAGATTTGATTTTACACCACAGTTGATATTGTGCATTATAATGTCTATTAGAAAATACATGTTGTGGGTTTAGATGTTACACACAATATGAATGAATCATTTTTGTGGGCAAATGTGGCAATCCTGGAAGCTGTGTTGAAAAACACCAACACACAACTCATCATTTCTCTTTTAATTGAAAAAGTCATACAAAGCATTTTCCATGAACATAAATATGGAGGATAGTGCACACTGCACATCAACGTCCACAGCTTAGGCCTGCTGTCGTCTGCAGTACAATCCGTCATGGTCTGACAGTTCATCTTCTTTAGCTCATGTGCTCTTATACCTCATCACTGTATAAAAATAAAGGCGTGTCTTGAATACATTTGAATGTTCATAATGTAGACTTTTTTTTAAAATGACCCATTCACATGTAAAAACACTGCAGCTGTAAAGACTCTGCAGAAAGTCCCGTCAGACTGACTTCCCACATGAACTCTTCCTGTTATTTTAATACAAACAAGACACAACTACTGTCAAGCTCCTGTCAAACAGAAGCGTCTGCAAAGGATGCTCGAGCTTCATCGACTTTCAAATGATTCATTTGAGAATTATTGTGGTGTGCACAAACATATGCTCCAGTGCAATGACAATACAGCAGTATAGATGGCATGATCTCCATCCGCATACATATCTCTCTTTCTTTTCTAAATCCACATGGTATATTTAAGTAGCCATGTGTGAGACATGAATGCAGTCAGAATAAGAAAATAAAAAAGCCCTGGTTTAAAATATCTCTTGGATGCTGACGTTTTGTTGGAAAATGTATTTAACACCACGGTTCATGTTACGTTCTGGGAACATTCAGCGTCAACGTGCTCAGATCATTGAGTCTGTAGCCATTGGGATACATTCAGACTCTGGAACAAAGAGTCAACAATCACTCAGTGAGTGAGCGTAGCGTCATCTACTGTGTGTATTGTGAGCTAACAGCTGTTCTACTTCAGAAATACTGACTGAGCAGAGATCACAGCAGTGCAATACATCAATGATTTTCTATTGGAAGTATGCGCCGCTATTTATCTTCTTAAATGGAAACTACAGCTTTGGAGCCAAAATCCAGTTCTTATTTGGTTCAATCATATTGAGCCAACATATATGTGACAACATGCAATATGCCAGACAGAAACACATATTTAGAGATTTTCACCTATTTTGCTTCCATGACATGTCTTCATTCAGACGAGTGGGGAGAAAACATCCGGAGTACACATTCAGGTGTTTCTTTTACTACGTTGTCTCTTTGCGTCTGTAGATTTCTACTAAATTCACCAAAAGTTACCGTTAGTTAATACCTCATTTGCATATTTAAACATGATACAAATACAAGAAAATGATGTCTTAATGTAAGTAATCAACTGGGGAAGTTTCATGTTGATATTTATTAGTTATTTATTTCATCTGTAGAGTCTTTAAAATGTATTCATTTTACAAAACACATCTTTAAAAGCACTTCCATAAACCCAACCTTCCAGTGTCATTCCTCTATATTCTGAAGCTTTTACACAGGTCATTCATAGCCTGATTTATACAACATTTGATGTCTATAAACATGGCCGAATGTTGTGTTTCTATTTTCTGATTTATGGAGTGATACAAAGAGATTACCTCTGTAAAAACATTTCACTCTAATATTCTACTAAATGAAACTAGAATCTGGAACCTGGCTTAATTCAACGTTCAGATTTCCGTTCTGGAACTTCTTATACCAAAATATAATGTATTTTATGTAAATGATCACCTGGGGAAGTTTCCAGTGCTTTCTATTAACAGTAATCGTTTTTTCTTTTGATCACATTCCTGTAATGTTTCCCCGTACGGAGGAATAGTGTATCTCCTCCATCTTCTCCTGATGGTAGCTGATCACTAGGCACCATCAAGTCTTAAAAACATCTTCACAATCAGTGCTTTTGATTTAGAGGAACTCATATCAGCTTCCTGTTACTGTTACTTTGCAATGCCGATTGAATGTGGGAGAAGGTTGGTCTGTAACTCTAGAGCCTGTGGGTCAAAATGCTTCCATGTCATGTTGATGCAAACAGGTTGTTCCCCACTGACTGCACTATAAAGACCTCTAAAGACAGTCGTCCTGTGTATCTTTGGTTCAGTATCCGGTGTTGCAGGCAAACATATGACCTGTATTATACGTTCCATACAGGCTGTGGCCAACAATAAGCTACACATTAATCAGAAAATAAATATCATATTTACAATTTCAATTCTGCAGGCAACTTTAAAATGATTAAAAGTTTGGACTTGTGTTTTTGCAAAGTCACCCAACTGCAAATCTGAATAGTGCTCATTATAAGAAGCTTTTACTAATCTGTGTTTAAAGAATCGCGCAAAGAGCATTTCATAAGCTGAACCACCGACAGAAGTAAAGCCAAAAAAGAAAAGGATTAGTCATATATATATATATATATATATATATATATATATGTTGTTTTGTCTTTCTTTCTGCTGTAGACATATTCTCATTAAGACATAGATCTTCATATATCTCACCCAGTTCTTCACTAACTCTGATCAACATTCTCTCCTCTGAATAGAACTCATACGTTGTGCTTGAACCCGTTCTATCTGGATCATTTCTCCTTTAGCTCGTTTTTAAAGATCTGCAGAACCATCTTCATATTTAATCTGAATGTTCATCCATGAGACTTGCACACACCACGATGGCCCATTTGCTTTGTGGAATTAGTAAATATAATATAACATTTAATAGCAAAAATTGAAGAAAAAAAATACAACAAATAAAATAGAAATGCATTGATAAGGTAGAAAACAGGATACTGGACAAATGTATGTATGAAAATTATATCTATACATAGTTTGCAATGTATGCAGTGCATACACAATATAAAAGACTTGAGTATAGTAAACAGTCTGTGTCTGAAAGTCTTACTACGAAAGCTTCCTGGCGCGAAAGCAAGCGTCAATAAGTGGATTTGACATTTTCATCTACTGTAATTCTGCTAAAATAGTAGTTAAAGCAGCCGAGCCTTTCTGAGAGTGCAGAGGGACAGACTTCCACTGTTGTTTGTCGACAGCACTGTTGGGCCAGAGCTGGCAGGTGTTAGACCAGAGATCCAGCCTGGTTCTGTGCAGGCACCATGATGGGCACCCCTCCCATGCGGGCGATGTTGGAGGCTGTGACCGTGGAGGTGGGCAGTGGCGGCGGGACGGGAGCCGCCTGGTGCTGCAGCTGAGGCTGGCTGTAGGTCTGCGGCAGCACCTGAGCCTGGGGCAGCTGCGTGTAGCGCTCTGGTCTGGGCAGGGAGCTCCCGTTGGTGCTGCCCTCGGAGGAGACGGCCTGTCCGCGCGGCAGGGTGGTGCTGTTGTTGTAGCCGTAGTGGGTGGGGGTGGAGGCTCCGTGGTGGCGGGACGGCCGGTAGCCGGCCATGCTGCCCGTGGCGGTGATGATGGAGGCGGTGTCTGAAGGTGGGCGCTGGGGGTACTGCTGCAGGTGGTGGTGGTTGTTGTGGTTGTGGGAGGGCTCTTTGTGGTGCGGGCTGGAGGCGATGGAGGACAGGGTGCCATTCTTGGAGATGATATCTGAACCCATGCCACTCTTTGCCCAGGACACACGCTTGGGAGCCTGAGCATCCTCCCTGGAGGGGGACGGGACCCAAAGTCAATTTCATTTGCTCACAAGAGCTTAATTCAACATTTGAAAGAATAATTCAATTGGGAGGGGGGGCAACCTTTTGGACTGCGGTCCATATGCAGAACAAAATAAGGAGCCAAACAATAGTCAATGTCCAATTTTCTACTAGTTGTACTGGAAATCAGCATTTTTATGTATTTTCTATCAAAATAATAATACTGGAAATATTTTAAAAAAAGTATTTCTGTATCTGCTGCTCTCAAATTTTATTTCCTTTTGAACTGGACTACAGTGTATGGCCTGAGGGCCCACTTAAAGATTACGATGTAAATGAGTCAGTCTAATATTAAGATGTAACAGAAATGGTAAAATATAGATTTCAGTCCCAAAAGGTTAAGACACTACATTTAGTAGACATTAAGTGTTTAAACCAATGTTCATACCATTTATTAGAAATATGCTGAAGCCATGTTTTAGTTGAATTACCAGCCGTTTAAAAACGGGCAGCAGGCCACAGTTGGTCCACGGGCCGTAGTTTGGCAACCTCCGAAACAAACTCTTCCACTTAAAAAAGTAGAACTCAATAATTTTGATGATCAAATAATCGCCTTGATTATTGAACATTTGCTGCCTCCATCTTGAAGGGTCAACTTGGAAACTACAACTGTTTGCACTGTTTTCTGACAAAACAATGAATCCATAACTGAGGAAACAATCATCAACATCATGGTTTGCATCTTTAGGTGGACCATATTCAGAGTCTGGTTGAAGGAGGAGGACAGCACACAGAAAGCTCTATTTCTACAACATGGTGCTGATTTCAAAGCCTAATGGCTCAACATGTGGAAGCTATAGCACATAGCACCATCTTATGGTTGAATTACATCAATCCAGCCAAAAAACAAATCTAGAATCAACAAATCTAGAATCAAATTCCAATTAAATGTCCAACAAACTGTATCCAATAAATAACAGTTGAACTTAACATATAAGGAAACATTGTGTGAGTGCCTGTCTCTTTAAGATCCCCTCCAGAAAAAGCCTCGTCTGCAAGAAAAAGCAGCTTTGCAAAGGTGATGTCTCAAGGCTCAAGCCCATGGCGGTATGTTCTAATGAGCGTGCATGTGACTTAGGAATGAGCCGGATCTCATTGGCTTGTTGAATGACATGTTTTCTGATCCAGGCAGCCCACAGTTAACTGACTGGGTCGTCTTATCACACAGTTTGTGTGTTGGTAGGCACTCCAGATACCCCAACGTATGAGCACAAGCTTTACATGATATGTCCCCTTTAACACATGTGATAGAGGCCACTTGGATTTAAGCCACATGAACTTACTTGATTTCGTTGGCCATGTCGTCCTCGTTGTCTCTCCGCCTCTTCACCAGGAAAAGGAGGCAGAGGAGGAGGAAGATGAAGCCAATCACTGAGCCCAGGGTGGCGCCGACGATCATCCCCACATTAGTGGCTACAGGAAGAGTCATGGGACACACAACGATTACATGTCACCAAAGCAGAACATGTCTACATAGCATCCATACTGTTTTTCTCTGTTAGACAAATGTCTCAGATGAGTGTGTAAGAGAGGAGTTGTATTGGAAACACTATTTCAACTATTTCTCATGTGTTGTTGTGTGCTACGTACAGGTGACGATCTCCAGGTTGATGAAGCAGCTCTCTGACCCGGCTGAGTTGCTGGCTGTGCACACGTACTTCCCCGACATGTTGCTGCTCAGGTTGCTCAGCTTCAGAGTGCCGGTCTTCTCGTCTGAAAGCAGCATAGAACACGGAGCACTACGGTCAAGCATGCATGCGTGCACATTGTTCCATGTGTATCTGGGCGATCACATGAAAACACATGACACAGCACAAACCCTGACTGCAGACGCATCCATTGCTTTGACACATAATACTTTAAGCATTATGGATATGCTTTATTTTATTACCCAGAAATCTATACTCTTCATCCTTAGTTGTTAGTGTTGGTTATGATGTCATCTTAAAGAACAAGGACTTCATATAAGACAAGAAGTAGTCCTTGCTTCAGCTTCTGTGTGTCCACTCTGCCGTCTTAGGATCTCATTTTCATTTTCATCTTCAAGTATGAAGTTATATGTATAAAAGTTCTCTTTAGGATTTTCAGAGCACAAATATAGCAGCAAACACCTACTTTCTATCTATAGATATATATTATAGGTATGAATTGCTGACATACCATGTCACGCACGTGCCTTTTAGTGCATGTTACATATATAAAATATACAATAACATATTATTGTATACTCCTCCGCGAATCGCCAACTTAACGTGGTGGAGGAGTTTGAGTGGCTCAGTGATCCTGGGAGCTATGTTGTCCGGGGCATTAGCCCCTGGTAGGGTCTCCCAAGGCAAACAGGTCTCGGGGGAGAGCCCAGACTAAGAGCGGTTCAAACGACCCTAATGATAAGCAGCCCACAGACTTTAGCCACCTCGCCCGGACCAGGGAAACCGGGGCACCCTCCCGGAGCCCGCAGGGACAAGCATTGGGGTCGGGGGCAATGCAGACCGGGCGGCGGGTCAGGCGGGAGGCCTGGGCGAGCCGATCGCCGGCAGCATAGACTAGCTCTAGGGACGTGGAACGTCACCTCGCTAGCGGGGAAAGAGCCAGAGCTGGTGCAGGAGGTGGAGCGATACCAGCTAGATATAGTTGGACTCACCTCCACACACAGCGCTGGCTCTGGGACCAAGCTGCTGGAGAGAGGTTGGACTTTGTCCTTTTCCGGAGTTGCCCAGGGTGAGAGGCGCCAGGCGGGAGTGGGGATACTCACGAGCCCCCGGCTGAGCGCCGCTGTGTTGGAGTTCTCCCCGGAGAACGAGAGGGTCGCCTCCATGCGCCTACGGGTTGCGGGGAGCAAGGCTCTGACTGTGGTTTGTGCTTACGCACCAAACAGCAGTTCAGAGTATCCGGCCTTCTTGGAGTCGGTGGGAGGGGTCCTGGAAAGGGCGCCACCTGCCGACTCCATAGTTCTCCTGGGGGACTTCAATGCTCACGTGGGCAATGATGGAGAAACCTGGCGGGGGGTGATTGGGAGGAACGGCTTGCCCGATCTGAACCCGAATGGTGTCTCGTTATTGGACTTCTGTGCTTGCCACGGTTTGGCCATAACGAACACTATGTTCGAACATAAGGTGGCTCATAAGTGTACCTGGTACCAGAACACCTTAGGCCGGAGATCAATGATCGACTTTGTAATCGTATCATTTGATTTGCGGCCGTATGTCTTGGACACTCGGGTGAAGAGAGGAGCAGAGCTGTCAACTGATCACCACCTGGTGCTGAGTTGGATCAGATGGCAGGGGAACCGGTTGGAAAGACCCGGCAAGCCCAAACGTGTAGTGAGGGTGAACTGGGAACGCCTGGTGGAGGACCCTGTCCGGGAGGTCTTTAACTCCCACCTCCGGAAGAACTTCTCTCACATCCTGAGGGAGGTTGGGGACATGGAATCCGAATGGACCATGTTCAAAGTCTCTATTGTGGACGCGGCCGCTAGGAGCTGTGGCCGGAAGGTCATCGGTGCCTGTCGTGGCGGCAACCCGAGAACCCGGTGGTGGACACCGGAGGTGAGGGAAGCCGTCAAGCTGAAGAAGGAGACCTTCAAGGCCTGGTTGGCCCAGGGCTCTCCCGAAGCAGCTGACGGGTACCGGCAGGCCAGAAGGGCTGCAGCTGCGGTGGTCGCGAATGCTAAAACTCGGGCATGGGAGGAGTTCGGGGAGGCCATGGAGAAGGACTATCGGTTGGCCTCAAGGAGGTTCTGGCAAACCATCCGACGGCTCAGGAAGGGAAAGCAGGGCTTACCCCAGGCTGTTCTCAGCAGGGGGGGGAACTGCTGACCCGGACAGGGGACATCGTCGGGCAGTGGAAAGAGCACTTTGAGGAACTCCTAACCCCGACCAACATGTCCTCTGCAGAGGAGGCAGCGCCTGAAGATCTAGGGGGAGGCTCACCCATATCCCTGGCAGAGGCCGCTGAGGTAGTCAAAAAGCTCCTTGGTGGCAAGGCGCCGGGGGTGGATGAGATCCGCCCTGAGATGCTGAAAGCACTGGACATAGTTGGGCTGTCCTGGCTGACACGCCTCTTCAATGTCGCATGGGGGTCGGGATCAGTGCCCATGGACTGGCAGACCGGGGTGGTGGTTCCCATTTTCAAAAAGGGGGACCGGAGAGTGTGCTCGAATTACCGGGGTATCACACTACTCAGCCTCCCAGGGAAGGCTTATGCCAGGGTGCTGGAAAGGAGGCTCCGACCGTTTGTCGAACCTCAGATTCAAGAGGAGCAGTGCGGATTCCGTCCCGGCCGTGGAACAGTGGACCAGCTCTTTACCCTCGCAAGACTACTGGAGGGGTTCTGGGAGTTTGCCCAACCAGTCTACATGTGCTTTGTGGACTTGGAGAAGGCTTTCGACCGGGTCCCTCGGGGGTTCTTGTGGGGGGTGCTGCGGGAGTATGGGGTGCCGGACCCGTTACAACGGGCGATCCCGGTGGGTGTTGGCCTCCGCCAGGGCTGCCCTTTGTGTCCGGTCCTGTTCATGACTTTCATGGACAGGGTATCTAGGCGCAGCCTGGGGGTGGAAAACGTCAGGTTCGGGGGTCTCGGCATCACCTCTCTGCTGTTTGCAGATGATGTGGTCATGTTAGCCTCCTCGGATCGTGACCTCCAGCATTCACTGGGGCGGTTTGCAGCCGAGTGTGAAGCAGCGGGGATGAGAGTTAGCACCTCCAAATCTGAGGCCATGGTGCTCTGCCGGAAACCGGTGGATTGCTCCCTCCAGGTGGGGACGGAGTGCCTACCTCAAGCGAATGAGTTCAAGTATCTCGGGGTCTTGTTCACGAGTGAGGGTAAGATGGAGCGGGAGATCGACAGACGGATCGGTGCGGCTGCAGCAGTAAAGCAGGTGCTGCACCGGACCGTCTTGGTGAAGAGGGAGCTGAGCCGGAAGGCAAAGCTCTCAATTTACCACTCGGTCTACATTCCTACCCTCACCTATGGTCACGAACTCTGGGTCGTGACCGAAAGGACAAGGTCGCGGTTACAAGCGGCCGAAATGAGCTTCCTCCGTAGGGTGGCCGGGCTCAGCCTTAGAGATAGGGTAAGGAGCTCGGTCATCAGGAGGGAGCTTGGAGTCGAGCCGCTACTCCTTTGCGTCGAAAGGAGTCAGCTGAGGTGGTTCGGGCATCTAATTAGGATGCCTCCTGGACGCCTCCCACTGGAGGTTTTCCAGGCACGTCCAACTGGGAAGAGACCCCGGGGAAGACCCAGAACACGCTGGAGAGATTACATCTCCCAGCTGGCCTGGGAACGCCTCGGGATCCCCCAGAATGAGCTGGAACATGTTGCCGGTGAGAGGGAAGTCTGGGTCAGCCTGCTTGGCCTGTTGCCACCGCGACCCGACCCCGGATAAGCGGAGGAAATGGATGGATGGATATTATTGTATATATATACACATGTATATATTTTGCAATAGTTTGAAAAGGAGAAATATGCTTTGGACGAGAAGATTGATACCACTCTCATATTTGTCTGTTAAATGCGAAGCTACATCCCGCTACATTAGCTTAGCATTCAGCCTGGAAGCAGGTGGAAACAGTGAGCCTACTTCTGTTCAAAGGTAAAACTAAATTAAAATAAATACACTCTTGGCAAACTGGAGAAAAAGCTAATTTCCTGTAAAGTTGAACTATTCCTTCTAAATAGGCCATAACATTTATTTTTACAATCAACACTTGAAATGATGAAGGGACTTGCAAATGACAAGGTAGTAGAACATGTAAACCATACTTTGGTGTTTCATTCTTACCTCTTTACTGAAGATTTCATAAAACTTATTTTCTTTTTCTTTTTCAAAAATGTACTAAAACACTGGCAACGAGAAACACCTTGGGTAGATGATAACAAGAATAAATATGACAACAATGTAAATCACATCCTCTAAACTAAAAAGGCAATCTGGTTTGAATTGACATCAAACATTATTAGTAAACTTGTTTACAAGAGATTTAGCCAAGGATCTTTAGAGGGAACCATGAAGTGCATCTTTTGGGATACACTCTATTCCTAACGAACCGTTTGGATATCTCATCGTCACCTCATCCCACATTAAACACTGGTATGCAGTAAGCTGCGTATGGTGACTCCTAGCTGTAGTATTAAACATATACTGCTGCTTATGCCATCTGAATAATTAGTTACAATCACATAAAAACTCCACACACAGGGGCGTCAATCACATGTAATTCCATTAAATTAGCTTCTGCTAACATTACTGTTCCCTTTCACACCGATTTATAGAATTAAAATCATGCAAAATATCAAGACATTCAATTGTTGCTGAGCAACAGGGGCAGGTACATGAATGTGCTGAGTCCACTCACTGAGCATGGGTGAGAAGAAGACCTCCGAGCTGGGGCTGGTCTTCTTCCACTTGTACAGGGGAACGGGCTTCCCGGAGCTGGTTTTGCAGCTCAGAGTCACGTTCCCCTTCAGCAACGGCTTCCCTGATAGAGAGCACTTGGGAACCCCGGGAGGGACTGAGACGAGAGGATCAAAGAATGTTTCTTTTGTTAGATTATACAACGTCATTTAATATATGAAATATAAACTACACTGCAATTAAGGTGAAGTCTTCCCAAGCAGGATGTAGTTCTCACCCTTCACGTCCAGACTGAGCTCAGCAGTGAGGCCGGGATTATCGGGGATGATGACCTGGCAGAAGTAGCGTCCTGAGTCGGACTCCTGGGTGTTGTTGATGTACAGCGACACGTCGCGTGAGGGCATGCTGGAGGAGAAACCCACGCGGCCCTTAAACTGGGAGCTGCCCACGCTCGTGGAGTCTTTGGTGTAGGCGATGATCTGGACGACACAACAGAGAGCCAACGTCAACCAGTGTCTTTGACATCCATGTCAGTATGATTGTACAGTTATCCCGGGTCAGAAGAATCACTAATCCTGCCCGCAACATTGTGATTGTTTGGCATTTCTCGAACTTTTGGCTGAATGTCACCCGGGTTACATGGAACACAATTTGTAAAATCTTGTCATAGAATCAAGCACTGCACATTTGTGGCCCATTTCCATCAGTTCCTTCATCACCATGAACACGCACACTGTAGTTTATTTTCATACAAAGTCCTGCTGCCACAAATACTCACTAGAGCACCAAAGCTCTGCTGAAAGTCATCATTTAAAGCAGCATTTACTTTAGTTTGAGTGGGGCTAAAAACTACAGTGCCCAGCCGATGAACCAAAACTGTATGAATGTATGCTGTGACCCATCTTTAACCAGTGGGCTTGTGGCTGAGTGGGGTAGAGCGCTGCAGGAATGAGTCCTGAAAGCCAGGAATAAGTTGTTGTTTTACTTCGGATTCCCTCATCTCAAACTCAATGGGTTTAGAATGTGTTTTTGGTGAGGTGTCTGAAATAAGGTCTGTGGTTAACACAGACAAGCTAAAGAGAATTCAAAGATTTGTTGTACGACTTAAAATACATCAGTAAATATGTGGTGAATTTAGAAGCTTTTACGTGTCTTAAATGAGGTGGTTGATAACAAGTGTCTGAATGAGACGACTAAACGTCCTCACTGGAACACCAGTCCTCCTTTAGCTCAGTGCTGGAGACGTGAAGTCATGTGACTGTGGTGGAGTTTATAATAGCATTAATAACGTTAGCTTTTTACTTTATTATGTATTTACGCTTCAACAATTACAAAAGTGGTGTTCATTTGTGAAGTGTATCTTGCTGAATAAAATCTGTAAATTGCATCAACGTTTCTCTGCCACAGAGATTATTTTCTGCAATAATCCTAAATCCCATTGGCTTTTTGGACCAGTGGGATGCTAACTTCCTGGTTGGCCTATAAAAATACATCATCCCTGATGCTCTCTGCTGAGAGACAGACCATCACTCTTTGGTTTTCTTGGCTAAAACATTAGTAAGTAATATCGGGAGCCTAAACCTTTAAATTGAAGGAAGTTGGGAGAGAATGTGTGAGACAGCTACTGACAATGCCAGAAGATGTAGCCCTGGAGGACACGGCTAGTCAGGAGCTTTCAGACAGAGGATCTCTATCATTTTAACATCACAACTTCCTCCTTTAAAAACTTACAGTAATTCAGTCAGAAACGAAGGATAAGAAAACTATTCAAAGTTGGATTGAAGCTAGATTTAACAACTGATTTAGTTGCTCTCAAACTTCAATGCTGATTGAGTCCATACCCTTTCATTTAGGTGCATGGAGGCCAACTAGGTAAGATGTGAGACACAAAACACCCACACGTGTAGGAAAAGCCTAATTCATGAGGACTTTCTCTGTGACAAGGTCCTGTAGAATAAACATCAGGAAATGATCTTGTTTGGAAAGAACAAGACTGAACTGGTTTCTCAATTTTCAACTAACTAGTTAGTTTATCAGAGTTAATGAGCTCACACTAGTTGGACTGCCTACCATGGGGGATGGCTGTGCATCACTGTAACATAAGGCATCTAGGATTGGCTTTGCGATAGTCCGTTTGTTCTTGTTATTCATCTGTTTGTCTACAAATGACAGCAGAGCAGAGACACTGATGGCTATCCCTTTTAATCAACGGTGTCTTTTCCAGCTCTCTGAGTTCTCTTTTCCCCTGTTTCCTTTTTGATTGTGATCCTCCATCTGTACAGCCCAGCGATCTGACCAGGGCCAATACGTAAGGTGAACCACAGCCAGGTCTCTAGATGATGTCAAAATAACAATACAGGGCTGGGGGGGGCGGGGTTGTTCAGCTGGGCGTTTACGCATAACCCCTCTGCTTCATTTCCTGTTTTACTGCATAAATAATCTGATTTGGAAAAACACGTTTATCTTAATTTCCTACTGCAGAAAACCTACAGTGTGGTTTATTGAAGCAGGAGAGAAATAATATATAATATTAAAAGGTTAAGCCGGTTTTGTCTTGGATTAATTTCCAAGGGTTTACAAAGGAAGAGCTTTGACAGATTAACAGCATAAGAACATAACTGTAATCCCACACATTATAGCCACAGAAGGCAACGTAAAAGATTCCCCTGCTGGGCTGCAGATACTGTAGTATATTAGATATTAAGATGAAGAAATATCTCATTCATGTTTTCCATATGCCTGTTTGTAGCATCTCCTATTGGCTTCCTTACCAGCTGGGTGCTGTTGGAGACAAAGTTCCAGAGGATGGTGTTGGTGCGCAGGTCGCTGCCTGGCCCTGGGCTGTACGTGGCCCTCAGCACCACCATCTGACCCTTGATCACATCCATGCTGGGTTGGGGCATCTGGATCTGGGCCCATATGCCTGGAAGAGGAAGGAGGGGGGGAAGGGAAGAGAGAGGAGAACTGTCAGTGTGACCCATCTCCAAAACGGGCCATTCTTCATCTACACTCACTGTAAAGCTGAATGCACCTGTATTCACTTTATGACACACTCATATTGTTATGGCAGAAGTCATTCACCTGCTGCTGTCAATACAACTAGACATTTCATGTCATGCAAAAATGTCACGAGCATACATATCAGAAATTATGATCTGATCCAATAGTATGTATAATGATGACAAAAAATGAACAAATACAACTTTATTCATTTACCATCTTTCAAGCACAGAATGCAACACAAAGTTCTAAACAATTCAGCAACAAAAGACCAAAAGCACAAGTTTAAAACCAAATATATATACAAAAGGAAGAAAACTAATGAGATGAAAAATGAAATGTTATCTGAACATTACAAAAACAAAGAAAGACAGCCGCATGTTATAGGTGACTGGACAGTGTGGAGGAGCTGGGCTGCAGTCCAGTGGCCACAGTACAATGTTGGCATTGTAGGTTTCTGCACACCACGGATACGCTGAACCTCAACGTTTCTGAACCATTAATATGTTTCATTTCAACACTTCTAGATACATGCACTGGTATAGTGTTTGAACCACTTGTGGCACTTTTCATGTGCATTTGGCATTTCCAAACTGCATTCTCAACTACGTTTAGGTTTAGGCAACAACACTACTTTGTTAGGGTTAATAAAAGATCATGGTTTGGGTTTCATTATGTGCGTTACTTTTGGTTTCACACGGGACACGAACAGCAGTCTCCTGGGTGAAAGTCCCACATTTGGAATTACATATAAATGTATGCGTGGTGCGTCAGAAAGAAACATAATCCTGGAGTATATACGTAATAGACGATGCAGTTTTCTTGTAAAGGATTGTTCTTTTTAAGAGACCAGGCTGGGAGACTTGACATGCTATAAATACAATTTCAAAGCACAATTCCTTAAACTCTGTGTCGATACTCTGCATTAAAAAGCCAAAAACATATACACAAAAAACTGTAACAGCATCATGTTTTCTAAGCACTGAATGTCATAAGTCATAAGGAAAGTCTATGCAGCAAGAATATCAGAAATAGAGTCAAATATGCTGAGGAAAGAGCTTCATCGTGTCTTAAGAAGGAGAATATGCAAACAAGTCTATTCGTCATCAAATCATTACAAATGTTCCTACCAACTAACGTTGGGAGAATATCCAGGTGAGCACTGGATACAACACACATCTTCAGTCGAGCAGAAACAGTCCACAACAACAACCGACACACGCTCAGCTTCTAACCGCAGGAGCACAGAGCGCTCCATGTTCCATCTCTAGAAGACCTGATCTCATGGAATCATGTGGGATCCATGTGACGTTCATATGTGACGTTGAAATGAGAGCAAAGAAAAAAAGGAAAGAAGAATTCCACAGCAGTGCAGAAAAAAAAGCTTTTCTTTAACAATGTCAAAAATATTTCACCTTTGTATTCATTTAATTAACTGCAGGCCCAGTAGAAATGACCTCAATAATGGTGTTAATGTAGTAATTGGTTTTATTTGGATTGATCTCATTATTGCAGTGAATCTCTAATAGCTTGAATATCTCGTTGATTACTGCATTTAATATCTCAAGGTCAAATTAAGAGCCAAATGAAACACAAAGAACATGACTCCTCCTGAGGCTGTTAAGCAAAAGTGAGAGTAGTTTATGTGGAGCAGCCTGATATGAAGTACTCAGTGTAGCGTGCATGTATGGCCAGAGAGGGGCAGCAGAGAGCCAAAACACACGTGCTACTCAGAAACAAATGGGAAACACATTTTCTGCAGCTTGATATTTACAATCATAAGCAATATAAGCAATGTCCAATTTTGGATCATTTATTGTGGTTTGATGTGCACAGGCAAATAAGCGACATTCATTCATGCACACTGTAACTGGGATACTGAGAGAGTTTGTTTTGTTAATTCTCACTGTGCTTCATTTATTAATTCATCCAATTAATTCATTCGTTACTTCAGTTAATTAATGTTTTTTGACATTGTCTCCACTGCATGTCATTCCCTTTGTGGGTGAGGAATGATTTGACTTTGGATCATGTTGTTAGACCATCAGACCTAACTTCTCTGTGATACACACACACACACACACTTCTCCCCCCCACATAGCCTCCCCCTGGTCTTCTCTTTATCTCTCACAGCTCTGACCCGTCCACCTCTCCTCCAGGCAGGATTTCTCTTTGCTTCCAGAACTCTTCACCTCAAATGATATTCCTGTGAACGGTTCCCTCACTGAGTGAAGGTGTAGAGTCCAGTCTGATCCGTCTCACAGGGTTCATCACAAATCATGCAATGAAGACACGTGGCAGGGGTACGCACGCTTTAAAGAATGGATGGGATTTCTGTGCGTTGTTGTTGTGTGTGCTAACCAGTGTGACTGACATGACCTTTGTGTGAATGCCATGCAAAAAGTATCATAGCTCTTCACTGTTTTGCAACAGGGATATTAATATTCCTATTAACTGGTGGCGTTGTTCGTTAAGTGTGAAGCAGTGCTCTGAACCTCTCCACTACGTCTGCACCAGCTAGACACTACAGAGATACACTTGGTCTACTCATGTCATGGTGCATGACTTCTGGGTCGTGAAGTCCTCACTTTTGCCTCAGGCTTGCTGCCAAGTGGGATCACCAACTTGCAGAAGTTCCCTATGCTGCTTTAAAGTTACAATGAAATGTGTCCTGCTTGCTCCCTCAGGCATATTAAGATGTTAACACAGGTAATGATGAACCAGCAGGATCTCAGCTAAAGAGAGAACGAATCAGAATCAGCTCTATTGGGCAGGTATGAGTACACATACCAGGAACATGACTCAGTTGTTGTTCTCAAAGCACATTGATGTGGTGTGGTGCGATTTAAGTCTTTTATATACCACTCCTGTAACAGAACAATACCATATTTATAGGGATTTCTTTTCCTAACGTCCAACTGGCGGCAGTGGAAACAAGTTGCGAACACAACCTGATAGGATGAACTTGATTATTTGTACATCCAGCAGTTATGGACAAAGATTGACATTCATTTGGAGTGGTGTTTTCTGTTCACCTGATGAATGTAAGTCCACTATTCCCTTTCTTTTAGCTCTGTTTTTGGTCCCCACCACCTGTCTCTGTAGCTGTTAAATGCTCCATTATGTTCACCAGCTAGTTTGTACCTGTTTCTGTCTGCTGTTTGCTGCTGAGCAGGTAGTGTACAGTGGCTTTATATGTCTTTCCCCCAGAAAGCAACTGCCTACTGCTACGCTATGAGAGCGCTGGGATCGAACCAAAACAGTCGAAGCTATAAAGCTCCATAGAGCCGAGAAGAAGCTGCAGATTCAGGTGATAACTATGTTTTCAGTTTGGTTTGTTTGTCTGTCAGCAGGATGATGGAAAAACTACAGACTCAATTTTTAATGAAGCTTGGTGGAAGGGTGTATCACTAGCCAAGGAAGAACGGGTCAACCTTTGGAACAGATTGGCCTTGGCGGAGTGCCCTTTTTGGTCTATTACTACCAGAGGGTTTCACATTGTCATTTGATACATTGTTATCATAAGAATATAACTGCTTTAGTAACAAATGTGCATATACATCCTTAAAAAATGGCTCAAGATGATTTGCTTTTCCCTGATTTTAAGAAAAATCCAGCTGTAAGATTTAATCTTAAATGAATATTATTCCTAATGAACACCTCCTGTGTTTTCTCAGCACAGCTGAAACTAGAACGGCAACAATGCTCCATGTAAAGAGATCTGTACAGAGAGTAGGTGTAGGTTTCAGTTTCTCGGTCACTGTGGAGACAGATGGAGATGTGTCAGCGATGACGGAGAAAGAGAATGTGTAGGCTATTCTCCTTTGGGAACATTGTTTCTAATAAAGAGTCACACAAATGAAGTCATTATGATATAGACAGAGGGGAGGAAGGAGATGGATGGAAAATAAGGTGAACTGTGGAAGAAAGAAAGGTGCTGAAAAGGAGGAGAGATGAAGGACAAGAGACAGAGTCAATGTCTCTTAAGACCCTAAGAAGATTTGCTGAGGCAGTGGGAAGCAGACCTCTTGTCTGGAGTGGTGCTGACTGATGGATGGATGGATGGATGGATCAGTGGACATGTAAAGATGACAGAAAGAGGCTTAAACATAAACGCAATGAGTCATAGTGGAGCAGCTCTCTGATGATTGCAGTAAGCCGGTAACAGACTCCACTGAGAGGCTGCTGTAAGAAGACTGGGCGTACTGCAGAATAAAAGTCTCTGGGACAAGGACAATGTTATGAAAGACAACACAACACAATGACTTGTATTCTTAAAGCAACAGCGAGTAGGGTTTGTATGTCTGGACTGGTGTCGTTACAATAAACGCAATGCATTTTAGGAAATACACCCATTCAACTCAGTCGCCCAACTAATAGAATAGATATCCGCAAACCTAAAACCATGCAGAGAACACTGTATGCTTAGCTTTTGGTCTAAAGGACCTTCACCAGAGCATACATGGTTCAGTTGGAATGGCACATGTAGAAACAAAGAAATCACATCATTCTTATCGCTTCTTATACTGTCTGTGAAACCACAAAACTGTCAATAACGGCCGCTCGGTATACTACGTCACTTGCTCTGACCTAATGCAACCACCTACCATCACCTCTAAAGCTCACTGACATGGGACATATTGCTAATTGAATATGTACAAAAACCAAAGTGTACAAAAGAAAAGTTGTGGTATTTATGTGCCTTGCTCCCTGTCTTTATGCTAAGCTAACTGTCTCCTGACCATAGAATGGTATCAATATGCGTATCTAACTATTGGCAAGAATGCAAATTAGACTATAAAAAAAAAATAGTCCTTTCTTTGTGGGACCAGAAGGACTTCAGAGGTTCAGGTGTTGCTTACTTACTATTGTGGACAAGAACAATGTAGGACTTTGTTCTAAGTGTTCAATTTGTGACCTGTA